TCTGGTCTCATTCGGCAGTTCCTTCAGATCATAAATGCGCAAAGAGGTGTGTAATCTCGTACAAAATATATTATCTCATGTTCAATTTCTTCAAAACTTCTAAAAGTTAAAACTAAACAAAATTTTTATTCCGGCACCTCCAACAGTTTCTCAACAATGTTAAAATTTGATATATTAGTTTAAAAATTAAACACTAAGATAGGATATTTCGTCAGAGTTACCAATTCTTGCCTTTTTCTCAAAATCTTCCGAGTTAAGAAAGAAACAGGTTATTTTTGGACAAAAATTGTACTTGGTTTGATGGGTTCAAAAATAACTCATTCAATTTCGTTCAAATCTATACCCACAATGTAGTTTTCCTCAGATAATAAAATATGTAAAGAGAAGCTTAATTTCTTATAACATTTAGATTTTATTGATTACTGTTTTTAAAATCCTGGAAACAACAATTTTAAAAAAATTGCTCCCGGCGCCTCCAAAATTTTTAACTACAAATTTAGGTTTTATCTAATTGATTTGAAAATGAATTATCCTTATAGGAAATTTTCTAGGAATTACGAATCCGTTTTTGTTTTCTCAGCAGCTTTTCAGTTATTGGTGAAATTCGTCGTGATCAGAAAAAAATTGAAGTCCGAAAAATTTTAATTTAATTTCCTTCAAATCTAGTCTTATTTGGTGGTTCCTTCAGATCATAAATATGAAAGGAGGTGTGTAATCTCTTGCAAAATATATTATCTCATGTTTAATTTCTTCAAAACTTCTAAAAGTTAAAACTAAACTAAATTTTCATTCCGGCACCTCCACCAGTTTCTCAACAATGTTAAAATTTGATATATTAATTTAAAAATTAAACACTAAGATAGGATATTTCGTCAGGGTTACCAATTCTTGACTTTTTTCTCAAAATCTTCCGAGTTAACAAAGAAACAGATTGTTTTTGGGCAAAAATTGTACTTGGTTTGATGGGTTCGAAAATAACTCATTCAATTTCGTTCAAATCTATACTCACAGTGTAGTTTTCCTCAGATAACAAAATATGTAAAGAGAAGCTTAATTTCTTATAACATTTAGATTTTATTGATTACTGTTTTAAAAATCCTGGAAGCAACAATTTAAAAAAAAATTCTCCCGGCGCCTCCAACATTTTTAACTACAAATTTAGGTTTTATATAATTGATTTGAAATTGAATTATGCTTATAGGAAATTTTCTAGGAAACACGAATTTGTTCTTGTTTTCTCAGTAGGTTTTCAGATATTGGTGAAATTCGTCGTGATCAGGAAAAAATTGAAGTCCGAAAAATTACAATTTAATTTCCTTCAAATCTAGTATCATCTGGTGGATCCTTCAGATCATAAATATAATAAGAGGTGTGTAATCTCTTGCAAAGTATATTATTTCATGTTTAATTTCTTCAAAAATTCTAAAAGTTGAAACTGAACCAAATTTTTACTCCATCTCCACCAGTTTCTCAACAATGTTAAAATGTAATATATTACTTTAAAAATTAAACACTAAGATAGATATTTCGTCAGGGTTACCAATTCTTGTCTTTTTTCTCAAAATCTTCCAAGTTAAAAAAGAAACAGATTGTTTTTGGATAAAAATTGTACTTAGTTTGATGGGTTCGAAAATAGCTCATTCAATTTCGTTCAAATCTATACTCACAGTGTAGTTTTCCTCAGATGACAAAATATGTAAAGAGAAGCTTAATTTCTTATAACATTTAGTTTTTATTGAGTACTGTTTTTAAAATCCTGGAAGCAACAATTAAAAAAAATTGCTCCCGGCGCCTCCACCATTTTTAACTACAAATTTAAGTTTTATCTAATTGATTTGAAAATGAATTACGCTTATAGGAAATTTTCTAAGAATTACGAATTTGTTCTTGTTTTCTTAGTAGCTTTTCAGATATTGGTGAAATACGTCGTGATCAGGAAAAAATTGAAGTCCGAAAAATTATAATTAAATTTCCTTCAAGTCTAGTCTCATTTGGCAGTTCTTTCAGATCATAAATATGCAAAGAGATGTGTAATCTCTTGCAAAATATATTATTTAATGTTTAATTTTTTCCGAGTTAATAAAGAAACAGATTGTTTTTGGACACAAATTGTACTTGGTTTGATGGGTTCGAAAATAACTCATTCAATTTCGTTCAAATCTATACTCACAGTGTTGTTTTCCTCAGATGACAAAATATGTAAAGAGAAGCTTAATTTCTTATAACATTTAGTTTTTATTTAGAATTGTTTTTAAAATCCTGGAAGCAAAAATTAAAAAAAAATGCTACCGGCGCCTCCACCATTTTTAACTACAAATTTAGGTTTTACCTAATTCATTTGAAAATGAATTATACTTACAGGAAATTTTCTAAGAATTACGAATTTGTTCTTGTTTTCTCAGTGGCTTTTCAGGTATTGGTGAGATTTAATTTCCTTCAAATCTAGTCTCATTTAGTGGTTCCTTCAGATCATATATATGAAAAGAGGTGTCTAATCTCTTGCAAAATGTATTATTTCATGTTTACTTTCTTCAAAAGTTCTAAAAGTTATAACTAAACCAAATTTTTATTCCGGCACCTCCACCAGTTTCTCAACAATGTTAAAATTTGATATATTAATTTAAAAATTAAACACTAAGATAGGATATTTCGTCAGGGTTACCAATTCTTGTCTTTTTTCTCAAAATCTTCCGAGTTAACAAAGAAACAGATTGTTTTTGGGCAAAAATTGTACTTGGTTTGATGGGTTCGAAAATAACTCATTCAATTTCGTTCAAATCTATACTCACAGTGTAGTTTTCCTCAGATAACAAAATATGTAAAGAGAAGCTTAATTTCTTATAACATTTAGATTTTATTGATTACTGTTTTTAAAATCCTGGAAGTAACAATTAAAAAAATTTCTCCCGGCGCCTCCAACTTTTTTAACTACAAATTTAGATTTCATCTAATTGATTTGAAAATGGATTATCCTTATAGGAAACTTTCTAGGAATTACGAATCTGTTTTTGTTTTCTCAGCAGCTTCTCAGTTATTGGTGAAATTCGTCGTGACCAGGAAAAAATTGAAGTCCGAAAAATTACAATTTAATTTCTTTCAAATCTAGTCTCATTTGGTAGGTCCTTCAGATCATAAATATGAAAAGAGGTGTGTAATCTCTTGCAAAATATATTATCTCATGTTTAATTTCCTCAAAAATTCTAAAAGTTAGAACTAAACCAAATTTTTATTCCGGCACCTCCACCAGTTTCTCAACAATGTTAAAATTTAATATATTAATTTAAAAATTAAACACTAAGATAGGATATTTCGTCAGGGTTATCAATTCTTGTCTTTTTTCTCAAAATCTTCCGAGTTAAAAAAGAAACAGATTGTTTTTGGACAAAAATTGTACTTGGTTTGATGGGTTCGAAAATAACTCATTCAATTTCCTTCAAATCTATACTCACAGTGTAGTTCTCCTCAGATAACAAAATATGTAAAGAGAAGCTTAATTTCTTATAACATTTAGATTTTATTGATTACTGTTTTAAAAATCCTGGAAGCAACAATTTAAAAAAAAATGCTCCCGGCGCCTCCACCATTTTTAACTACAAATTTAGGTTTTATATAATTGATTTGAAATTGAATTATGCTTATAGGAAATTTTCTAGGAAACACGAATTTGTTCTTGTTTTCTCAGTAGGTTTTCAGATATTGGTGAAATTCGTCGTGATCAGGAAAAAATTGAAGTCCGAAAAATTACAATTTAATTTCCTTCAAATCTAGTATCATCTGGTGGTTCCTTCAGATCATAAATATAATAAGAGGTGTGTAATCTCTTGCAAAGTATATTATTTCATGTTTAATTTCTTCAAAAATTCTAAATGTTGAAACTGAACCAAATTTTTACTCCATCTCCACCAGTTTCTCAACAATGTTAAAATGTAATATATTAGTTTAAAAATTAAACACTAAGATAGATATTTCGTCAGGGTTACCAATTCTTGTCTTTTTTCTCAAAATCTTCCAAGTTAAAAAAGAAACAGATTGTTTTTGGACAAAAATTGTACTTAGTTTGATGGGTTCGAAAATAACTCATTCAATTTCGTTCAAATCTATACTCACAGTGTAGTTTTCCTCAGATGACAAAATATGTAAAGAGAAGCTTAATTTCTTATAACATTTAGTTTTTATTGAGTACTGTTTTAAAAATCCTGGAAGCAACAATTTAAAAAAAATTGCTCCCGGCGCCTCTAAATTTTTAACAACAAATTTAGGTTTTATCTAATTGATTTGAAAATGGATTATCCTTATAGGAAATTTTCTAGGAATTACGAATCTATTCTTGTTTTCTCAGCAGCTTTTCAATTATTGGTGAAATACGTCGTGATCAGGAAAAAATTGAAGTCCGAAAAATTATAATTTAATTTCCTTCAAATCTAGTCTCATTTGGTAGTTCCTTCAGATCATAAATATGAAAAGAGGTGTCTAATCTCTTGCAAAATATATTATCTGATGTTTAATTTCTTCAAAAATTCCAAAAGTTAAAAGTAAACCGAATTTTAATTCCGGCACCTCCACCAATTTCTCAAGAATGTTAAAATTTGATTATTGATGCAAAAATAAATCACTAAGATAGGATATTTCGTCAGGCTTACCAATTCTTGTTTTTTTTTCTCAAAATCTTTCGAATTAAAAAAGAAACAGATTGTTTTTAGAAAAAAAATTATAGTTGATTTGATTGGTCTGAAAATAGTTCATTCAGTTAGTATGGTTTTCTTCGGATAATAAAAATATGTAAAGAAAGGCTTAGTTTCTTACAACATTTATAGTTTTTAATGAGTAATGTCTTTAAATTCCTGGAAGCAACAATTAAAAAAAAATGCTGCCGGTGCGTCCACCATTTTTATCCTGAAAATGTAAGAGTCTCAAATTCATCTAAAAGTGATTATTTTAGTTCTTCATTTTTTTTATAGCCTTTTAGCTTCCTGTCTTCTTAAATATTCAAACTTCAATGACCAAAATCACAGAACGTTTATTCTCCAGAACACAAACACAAAACAAGATAAACAATCAATCCCAAAGCCCCCATCAGTTGACACTCAACGTGAAATTCTCCCCCAGCAGGTTCTGCGCCACCGGCTGGGTGAAGTAGGACTTGAACGCCCCGTCCTCGGACCGCAGCCCCACCATGAAAGTGTACTCGCTCTGGTTTCCCTGCATCTGAAAAATCGGCCTGTCCGTTTCATAGATCTGCGGCTTGGCCCCCAGCTCCCTCCCCGGGTAGACATAGACCTCGTAGTAGTAGGGCCCCACGTAGTAGGGGACGTGGGGCTCGCGCCAATACATCATGAAAGCCCCATCTGTTCGTGACGTCAATCGCACTTTGTACGGTTGCAAGAAATGGGGAACTTTGTATGAGACAATCGCGGTCGGTTGCGAGCCGACGACGTCTGTGGCAACTTTAATATCGTACGATTTGCCGTAAATTACGCGCAAAGTTTGCGCCAAGTCGGCGCTGGTAGTGCGGGGGTGGGTTATGAGCATCAGGCGGGGCGAGTCGGGCTCGTGGACGGTCACCTGGAAATAACCAAGGTTTTTAAAAATAATTTTGTTAAAAATTCGGTGTCCAGTGGTGCTGGGTCTGAAAATAGGTCAAAAGCAAATTTCAGCTGCAAACCTTACCAAATATCCGAGGGGCACGGCAATATTTGGACAGGAAGCCGACCACTTGATTAGTAAACAGGGTTGTTCATCGGGGATGAATTCGACTTGGAGGTTTTCGGGGGGCGATTGCTCGTCGATAAGGGTACCAATCGTGCGTATGTTTCGGGCCGGATGAGCGATTTTCTTGTTTGGATTTACGACCCCGACGGCAAAGATATATTGCGTACAGAAAGTCAAATTAGTGACCTCTGCATACAAATCCTTGGTTGTCAGTCGTGGTTCTAATAACGGAAAGAGGGAGTGTAGTGAAGAGAAGGTAGTTTTGATAAAAATGAGAGAAAATGTTGGTTTTAAAAAAGAGTGACTAAAAAATTGTTAAGAAATCTGAAATTAGAAAGCAAGATATCGCGTTATTTGTTCGTATATTACAAATTTAGCAAAAATCGGTTTGGAATCGAAGAGTTTATTAATAGTGAAGACAATTAAATAAGAATAAATAAATAATAATTCATTCTAAAAAAAAAAGAGTGAGACATTTAAGAAAGAAAGCGAAAAGAAATAGTTCCCAGTTAAAAAATGATTTAAAATGGAAACGAAATATTGTCGACGGCACCAGTTTGTTATCAATTATAACCAAAATTAAAAAATGAATAAGTCATATTAATTTTTTAATTACCTTTAGGTCTTTATTATTACAGCATAGTAGTAACTAGAATGATAGATTCTAAAATAAATAATCGAATAATAATAGTATAAATAAACAACTTAGAAGACTATAAATCATATCTTACTAAAAAAAAATATTCTAACACCAAAATAATTTACAAATGGACAGAAAAAAATTGAAAAAACAAGGCTAAAGGAAAATTAGACCTGCAAAAAGCTTTTCTTTGTTCTAGCTTTACTGTATTCTCGACGAAAAATACCACCTAAACGTTTTATTAATTTAGTGAAACATGTTCCTTTAGTATGCTTGATTGCATGTTGGTACTTTCAGGTCCACGATTGAAAATTCTAAATAATCTTAAGGGTTTTAGATTCAGCGAAGCATATTGATGGAAATACACACTTTTGAAAACCGGAATCTTCACTATTTTTACCAAAAATTATGGTAATAAATTTCATATGATTTCGATTTTTTTTTTAGAAGAGACATTTTAAGACAAGGAGCTTTTTGCGATTTATTTGATATGAAATGAACACCTGACTTGACCTAACCTGACCTGACCTGACCTGACCTGACTTGACCTGACAAGATCTGACATGACTTGACTTGACCTGCCGTAACCTGAGCTGACTTGTCTCAGTCAAAAGTACTATTAAACGTGACTAAATAACTGTGGCAAAAGCACGAATAACAAAAGTAATATTTAAAAAATACCTGTTTGATGAATAGTAATTTTATCTCAAATGTACGCCCTCGGTTGAGAACAAAATTGAACAATCTTCGCGATAAGTCTGCATATAAAAATTAAATTTTCAGTGCTGCAAAAATGGTCGAAGTTATTGAAGAAATGAGAACAAAACTATAAGTTCTGCTTCTCGAAATCCATAAGAAAAAGGCTTCCGTTAAGCTTCGAAAATGGTTGAAAATTGGCCGAAATTTACGTAAAATTGAAAATTTGGCTTTTGAAAAGGTTCCCAAAATAAAACCCAAAAAAATCTATGTTATAGATTTCCAGGTTACAAAAAATATAATCATTTGGGGTCCCGGATCAAGACTAGAAAATCCAAAAAATTTCAAGCAAATTGGTAGCAGTTTTTTCGTAGAAACTAGGCCGAAACTATCTATAGGCAAAAATTTACGAGAAAATATCTTTCGTTAAATATCGAAAATGGTTGAAAACTTGACAACAGTTTTATGAGGGGTTCCAAAAAATTTTGCTTTTGACAAATTTTACAAAAAAAAAAATTCCAACAAAATCTGGGATATAGATTTGATGTGATGGTTACAAAAACACAACCATTTAGAGTCCCGGATCACGACTTTAGAAATATTCAATTTGAAATTCGAATTGTTAAAATCCAAAAAATTGCAAGCAAAATGTTAGAAGTTATCTTAGAAGCCGAAACTAACTTCTGTAGGTCGAAATTTGTGAAAAAATATCTTTAGTTAAATACCGAAAATCGTTGAAAAATTTTGCAAAATATTCATGGGGGGTTTCGAAAAATTTTGCTTGTGAAAAAGTTCTCAAAAAATAAATCCTAAAAAAATCTGGAATATAGATTTCTATCTGATGGTTACAATAATTTAACCATTTAGAGTCCTGGATTAAGATTTTAGAAATATTCAATTCGGAAATCTATTTTTTTTAAATCCAAAAATTTGCAAACAAAATGTTAGAAGTTATCTTAGAAGCCGAAAATAACTTCTGTAGGTCGAAATTTGTGAAAAAATATCTTTAGTTAAATACCGAAAATCATTGAAAAAATTTGCAAAATATTCATGGGGGGTTTCGAAAAATTTTGCTTTTGAAAAAGTTCTCAAAAAATAAATCCTAAAAAAATCTGGAATATAGATTTCTATGCGATGGTTACAATAATTTAACCATTTAGAGTCCTGGATTAAGATTTTAGAAATATTCAATTCGGAAATCAATTTTTTTTTAATCCAAAAAATTGCAAACAAAATGGTAGCAGTTATCTTAGAAACGAGACCGAAATTAACTTCTAAAGGTTGAAATTTATGAGAAAATATCTTTTGTTAATTATGTCGAAAATGGTTAAAAATTAACAAAATTTTCATCGCGGGTTTAGAAAAATTTTGAATTTTGAAAAAGTTCCAAAAAAAACACCCAAAAATATCTGAGATCTAGATTTTTGTGTGATGTCTGGTTAAACTTTAAAAATGGTCAAAAATTGGTCAAACATTTCAAAGAACTGAAAAATTTGATTTTTGAAAAGTTGTCAAAAACTTCCAAAAAATTCTGAGATACATATATTTCTACTGAAAAATATATAACGTTTTATGATCCCGAAACAAAATTTTATAAATATTCGGCTTGAAAATCAAATTTTTTAAATTCAAAAATTTCAATATACTTCAATGATGGATACTGGATAAACGGTAAAAATTATCGCAGAAAATTTAAAAAATTTTTATGGGGCGTTTTGAAAAATTTTGCTTTTGAAAAGCCGCCAAAGGATTTTGGGACATAGATTTCGACATATTGATTCCAAAAATTTTTTTTGATTTTTTTTTCAAAAAATTCCAAATTTTCAACTGGGGATACTAAAAAATGATAGAAGTTTTGGAGATTGAAGAAATGAAGCCGAAACTAACTTCTGTATGTCAAAATGTATAAGAAACACATTTCGAATAGATTTAGAAATTTAACCCGTTTCTATGGAAATTTTCTTATCGTGCTATCCCCGCCCACCCGCCCAATATTTTCTCAGAGGATATGTCATTTGCCAAATTCAGTTTTATCTTAACAAATACTAGGGCCGCCCACCCGCCCCCTATTTTCTCAGATGATGACATTGGCCAAAATCAGTCTTATCTTAATAAAGTGCTATCCCCGCCCACCCGCCCCCTATTGTCCCATAGGGTATCATTTGCCAAAATAAGAGTTGTGTTAGCAAGTACTAGCACCGCCCACCCGACCTTCATTTTCTCAGATGGTAACACTTGCTAGAACTATCCTAGATAGCCATCCTGTGAGAAAATAGGGGTGGGTGGGCGGGGCTAGTACTTGTTCAGATAAAACTGATTTTGGCAAACGCCATACCCTCTGAGAAAATAGAGGGCGGGTGGGCGGGGCTAGTACTTGCTAAGATAAGACAGATTTTGGCAAATGACATATCCTCTGAGAAAATAGGGGGTGGGTGGGCGGGCCTAGTATTTGTTAAGATAAGTCTGATTTTGCCCTGATTAATCTTGTAAAAACTTATACTTTTACTTTTTGAAAAGTTCCTAAAAAAATCCCCAATCAAGATTTTCGAAATATTTGTTCAAAAATCATTTTTTTAACAAAAAATTGCAATATTTCAACAGACAATGCTGAAAACTGGTAGGAGAAATCTATAAGGAAATATGTTTAGTTAAATATAAAAAATGGTTGAAAATTTTACGAAACCTGACCTGACCTGATCTGATCTGATCTGACTTGAGCTGAGCTGACCTGTTTCAGTCAAAATAAATAATAAACAGAACTAAATAGCCGTGGTACAGGCATGAAATTTGCACAAATTTGTCATTTCTTCCAAAATAACGAAAATATTATCAAGACCATCTTTTATAATAAAATTTCTGTATTTTTTAAAGAAAATAAAAACCATATACGCAAATAAATTTTACTCTGCTTTCAAATAGTAAAACAAAATCACAGAATCTTTCCCAGCATTCGTTAGCGTATTCCCTATTCATTCAAAGCCAGGAAAAAGCTAAAAATCACAGAAAAAGTTAAACCCGTCTTCGAAAATGCCGTAAATATCAGGAAACCTATTTACATGCGGCCTCAACAAAGTTAGAAAGCCGATTATACAGCTCGTTTATTTCCATAAGCTGAGGTTTCATTAGCCCAAAGCTTAATAATTAATTGTACACTAAATTCACATTTTGATCAACTGGATTATTTTAAGTCTGCGGCAGAAATTTAGTAAAATTCTTACGCAGCCATTTAAAATTTACCAGGCTGTAATCCAAATAGACAAAGCGCTGAAACTGCCTTCAAACGAAAGATCTGGGCAAAAGTGCGTCCCTGGAGGGTAATAAGTGCGACGAAGTAACAAGGAAATAAGGACTGAGACTGTGTGTATTTACAATTATCGGCAAACATGTAGACGATTAAATATCTGCAACCAAGTCAGTCGTAAACGTAATGAAAAGTAAAAGACCTAAGACGGGTCTTCGGATAATACGCCTCGAGCGGCGTCTGCCGCTAAATACGCTCTCGGCTTTAATAGAAAACAATCTTGCTCTAGTAGAAAATTTTGAACTATCTACCTTTCAACGCGTCTTCCATATTCAATCCATAGTACACTCCATACGTCCAATCCAGATCATACTCTCTCAGGGATTTCCCCCACGATAAACGCACCGCGTTGCCAACCCTTGGCACCACTTCGATGCTGATAATCTCCATGTCGATGTAGTGGCTGTTGTCCTCCTCCCTCGAACTCTCCGTCGTCGTCTCGCCTATCAAGGACTCAGCTAGAGGTGTCGTGGACGATTCGGTCGAAGTTTCGTTCTGGCCCTGGCAACACTTTCAACGAAACAGTAGCCAAAGCAAATACAGGCCAACTTACGCGAATGAAAAGCGCAAACGAAATTAGGGAAGTCACTAAACCAGAACGGTGCATGCTGGTAAAACTGCGAATAAACTGTTAGAACTGAAGCCCACATAACGGACGTGCAGCAGTCCCAATGTCAAACAAAAAATATGTAACACCGATTGTGTCGCCGGAGAAATGGGGGGGTTCAGACGCAATTAAGGTGGTGGTGTTCGAAGGTTGTGCGCTGTTTTTAAAATGAAAAATCACAAATTGTGGCAACTTGAAGCGAGAAGTTTAATAATAAACCTCTTTAATATCTTACCTCTAGGCTTTGTTCGAAGTTTCTGCAACGCTTTTATCAAAAACATTCTTTTGGATATTACAAAGAAGTGGATATATCAAGTTTTCTTATTATACGATAAAGTTTGTTGTTTTTGTGGGTAGTTATTTTGGTGATTCAAAGCGAACCTTGAGGTTATCTGAGAGGATTTTCATTTTATTACTGTGAGCATTGTTAGATTTAATGTGGACAAAGAGAGGCGTATTTGCTTTATTAATTTTATTGCATCACAGAACTATAGATTTACAGACTGCGATACTGATGTGCGGAAGCAGTACACCAGTGCAAACACATTATTTATGACCGGATTTATGAGTCCTCGTCACCAATACTAACCGAATAACGCTGTCTTAAACTATTTGCCCAGAATCAACAGTTTTGTGCTGTTTATACTTGCTGATAAAGCAGCAGAATCACTTAGTTCTAACAAACCCAAGTAGGCCAATATTGATTTACTGTCTGGAGAAATCGGAGAAATAACTACTTGCTATAGTTGATTTTCTGCAGATTTTTTTTATTTTGTTATGGACTCTTTAAAACTTACAAGTGTCCCATTATATTCAAACACATTCAATAAACTTCGTGTTATTGCAAGTTCCCGATAAGTAAGTATGTCTGGAATGGAAACTTCGGAGTTTTCGTCTTTAAACTCCGCTGTGATAAATCGAAGCAGACTCGCTAATCTGGCGGATTATGTTGCTGTTAATTCTTGAAAGGGGGCTGTAATATTATGGCAAAAAAACTATGGGAGCATCAAGTCTAAAAGGAGCTTTTAACCTTTTCTTTTGATAGAGAAAGTTCTGGAAAGTTCATTTGGTTCGAAGTTATTTTCATAAAAAATGTATATTTGCCTTCTACTTGAAAACTTCTGACGGGGAATCATGGCCACGTTTCATTTAGTTCAAAGCAGGCATTGGTTTTTTATTATCTGATTTGTTTGAATTGTTTGGTTAATTAAACGAACGACGGTCGCAAAAATGGCGCAGTCGCAAGCAGTGTCCCGATTTTTGGCATCAGATCTGCCTTTCGTCAATAATTTGTTGACGTCACCTAAAAATTTTGCATGGTAAATACTATATAAATTTTGTAAAATGACATACTGCTCTATTTATGGTTTATGAATCCGTCTTGATTTTTACCCTAGCCATCCACGCTATCCGAAGAAACTTAAAATCATATTAAATTGCAACGCAAAATTTTTATTAATATAGTAATCCAGTATTTTCTAATAGGTAACAATTAATAGCGAAATATATAGGATATATGGAAGCCGTAGAAACAATATTAGGCAAGTACAAGTCATAGAAATAGTGAATGCAAAGAAAATTCACTAAACTTTCCTTTTTAGTTACCAGAAAATTACTCCAAAACACCTTCAATCATCACATTTGGCCAGAAAAAAAGTTTTTGTGATAACCTGTATAAGTAGTTTTAACAAATAAAAATACATTACCAAACTGCAAATATTTGAGAAGATTGGTTTAATAAACATGTGCCTACTTACTTAATTAGTCTATATGACATCATAAATTTTAATCCTTCTGAGTTCTGTGTTTAACTAATATTTTCGGGAAGTTACTTTTGGCCTAATTTATTTGATAACGCTACCATTTTTCCAGAATCCAGAATTTGAAACAGTTTTTTGGATTGTTATAATTGCTATAACCTATAACGCTATATTTTTGGAATCAACACGTCGAATTCTATGTCCCAGAATTGTTTGCGAATGTTTAGACAACTTTTTCGAAACCAAAGTTTTCTAATATTTGTGAAAATTTCGCACTTTTTCGACCACCTTCAAAAACATAACGAGAGATATACATATTTTATAATTTTTTGTTTTTTCGACTTAAATTTTTTCAATATTTCGATTTGCAACTTTTCAATTTTTACTTTTTGTTTGTCCCTTCGGTTTTACGACTTCCGGTCTACATTTTCAAATTTTTCAGTTTTTCGATTTTCTAAATTTTGGCTGTTTCAATTTTTTCATTTGGATTTTTTCTTTCTATGTTTTCAATTTTTCGCTTTTCCCCTGTGTTTTATAATTTTTCTTTTTTTTTCAATGTGAAATTATTCAGTTTGCAATTTTTCGAATTTTCAATTTTTATTTTCTTCAGTTTTTCAATTATTCGCTTTTTCAGGGTTTAGATTTTATAAATTTTTGAATTATAAAATTTGAATTTGAATTTTTTCAATTTTGCGTTTCTTCAATTATTGCAATTGGATTTTTCAATTTTTCATTATTTTGTTTCCCCAATTTTTAAATATTGCCATTTTTCAATTTAAAATTTCTCGTGTTTTCAATTTTGAATTTTTCAGTTTTTCGGTTCTTTAATTTCACACTTTTCCTAATTTTTTATTTGCAATGCTTCTTTTTGGTTTTTTATTTTATTTATTTTTCCAGTTTATTAGTTTTCGGTCTTCCGATTGTATAATTTGTTGTTTTCAATTTCAATTTTTCTTTTTTTTTTCTTCAATTTTTAAATTTTGTAGTTTTTTGATTTAAAATTTCTGGAGTTCTCAATTTTGAATTTTTCAATTTTTCGATTCTTTAATTTCCCATTTCTTCAAATTTTCGATTTGCAATTTTTCTTTCGATTTTTTGAGTTCCTTTCCTTTCACGATTTTTCAAGTTCCGCTTTTATAATTTTTTGTTCTTTCGAGTTCAATTTTTTCAATTCTCCTATTTTTAAATTTTTTTGTTCCTTCAATCTTACCACTTCATTTTAAAATTTCTCAGTATTTCGATTTTCTAACTTTTGACTGTTTCAATTTTTTGATTCGCAATTTGACGAGTTTTCAATTTTTAATTATTCAAATTTTCAATTCTTCAATTTTTTGAATTGCAGTTTTTCGTTTATATTTTCAAATTTTCGGTTTCCCGATTCTGATTTTCTGATTTTATCATTTTTCTTTTTTTCAATGTGAAATTATTCAATTTTTCGATTTGCAATTTTTCAGCTTTAAATTTTTCGATTTTTCAATTTTTAGATTTTTTTATTTTTTATTTCTTCGATTTGCAATTTTTCTTATTTTATATTTTTTATTTTATATTCTATTCGATATTTTAGGGTTTAGATTTTATAATTCCTTGATTTTTCAATTTTTTTTTTCAATTTTGCGTTTCTCCAATTATTGAAATTGAATTTTTTAATTTTTCATTTTTTTGATTCTTCAATTTTTTAATTTAAAATCTCTCATATTTGAAGTTTTTCAGTTTTTCGGTTCGGTGATTTCACATTTCTTCTAATTTAATAATTTTTGTGTTTTCAGTTTCATTTATTTAGTTTTTCATTTTTTTGTTCCTTTTATTTTACAACTTCAAGTTTCCGTCCTAAAATTTTTCAGTTTTTTGGTTTGCAATTTTTCAATTTTTCTTTCTTTTACTTCCTCAATTTTAAAATTTTGCATATTTTTGATTTAAAATATGTCGAGTTTTCAATTTTGAGTTTTTCTTTGTTTTCGATTCTATAGTTTCTTCAGATTTTCGATTTGTAATTTTTGGTTTCGGTTTTTTATTTCCTTTATTTTCACAATTTTTCGAATTCCAATTTTATAATTTTTGGTTTTTTCGTCTTCAATTTTTTTCCATTTTTCGTTCCTTAAATTTTTCAACTTGGAATTTTTCAATTTTTCATTTTTTTTTGTTCCTTCGATTTTCTAAATTTTATTTGCTTCAATTTTTTAATTTGTAATTTGAGGAGTTTTCAGTTTTTAATTTTTCAATTTTTCATTTCTTCAATTTTTCGATTTGCAATTTTTCGTTTCGGTTTTGATTATCTATATGTTTTCAATTTTTCGGTTTTCCAGTGTTCTGATTTTATAATTTCTTTTGTAATGTGAAATAATTTAATTTTTCGGTTTTCAATTTTTCGATTTTTCAAAGTTTAGATTTTTAATTTTTTGATTTTTTCAATTTTGCGTTTCTCCAATTATTGGAATTGAATTTTTCAATTTTTCATTTTTTGTTTCTTCGATTTTTCAATATTGCAATTTTTCAATTTAAAAGTTCTCGTGTTTGAATTTTTTCAGTTTTCCGATTTTTCAATTTCACATTTCTTCTAATTTTTGATTTGCAGTTTTTCGTTTCGTGTTTTTATTTACTTTATTTTTGCAGTTTTTCAGATTTTGGTATTCCGATTGCAAAATTTTTTATGTTTTCTATTGCAATTATTAAATTTTTCATTTTTTTCCTTCTATTTTACGACCGCTAATTTTCATCTTAAAATTTTCCAGTTTTTCGATTTTCTAACTCTTGGAAGTGTCAATTTTTGGATTTTGCAAATTTTTGATTTACAGTTTCACGAGTTTTCAATTCTTAATTATTCAATATTTCGATTTTTCAATTTTTCATTTCCTTAGTTTTTGGCTTTGCAATTTGCATTTTTATTATTTTTTCTATTTTTTTGGTTTTCCAATATTTTGATTTTACAATTTTTCTTTTATCATCGTGAAAATTTTCAATTTATCGATTCACAATTTTTCGTTCTTCCAAATTTTCGTTTTTCCGATTTTAGATTCTTCAGTTACTCGATTTTTCAATTTTTCATTTTTTGTTTCTTCAGTTTTTAAATTTTGCAATTTTTTTATTCAAAATTTCTCGAATTTCCAATTTCGGATTTTTCAATCTTCCCAAACTTTAATTTGTGCTTTCTTCAAATTTTCGATTTGCAATCTTTCGTTTCCATTTTTTGATATCCTTTATTTTCACAAATCTTCGAGTTCCAATTTTATAATTTTTATTTTTTCCGTCGTCAATTTTTTCAGTTTTTCGTTTCTAAAATATTTTGAATTGCAATTTTCCGATTTTTTCTTTTTTTTCCTGCAACAGTTTTTCATTTCGATTTTTTATTATCTATATGTTTTCAATTTGTTGATTTTTTTATTTTTCGTTCCTTCGATTTGCGATTTATCATTTCGACTTTTCAATTTCTTAAGTTTTTCAATTATTCAATTTTACAGGGTTTAGATTTTTAATTCTTTGCTCTTCAATTTTCATTTTATTGTTTCTTCAATTTTGAAATATTGCAATTTTTAATTTTTGTGTTTTCAATTACGATTATTCAATTTTTCATTTTTTTGTCGCTTCTATTATACAACTTCGTATTTTCATCTTA